GCCCCTAAATCAAATTTTTAAGTAATGTATTTGGAGAGGAAGAAAGCTACAAGCATAATGGCCTCTGGCAAGAACAGCAGCTGCAGATGGATAGCCCAAGCCCCTCTCAGGCTGCCAGAGCACATAGTCCAGGTACCACTTGGGAAGGGACACAGGAGGGTCCCTTCAGTAGTGTGGGAGAAAGCAGAATGCAGGCACCTGATATTCAAGTCTCTAAATGAATCACGGGGCAACCACAGGTGTGGAGCCCCTGGGGGCAGTTTCTGAAGGATCAGAAACCCCCAGTCTCCTCTCTACTGTAGTTAACGGGTGCCCAAAGAAGTGGTGAGCCCAGAGAAACCAGGTACCTTCAGCTTCCTAGGACAACCACGGCCCCACCCCACAAGTGCAGCCCCTCTGAACCCTGCCCTGGCACAGCCAGCAAGCTGCAGACATTGCGTCAATGTCAAGAAAGAGGGAAGATTAAAAATGCAGACGCCCAGAAGCTCCCCAGCCTTTTCTTGCTGTAGAAATGACACAGAACCGTGCCTCTGGCCATTGCTGTATCCTCACAGAGGCTATGAATGGAGTCTGGCTGCCACTGACCCCCACAGGACAGGCTGGCTCTGCAGTCCCCTGCTCTGACATCTTAGATCATCTGTCCCAACTCAACTGCTGCCAGTGGCCAGGACTATTCAAGAGAGTTGGGGACAGACCTCTCACTGCCCCGGCACAGAGCTGGCTTCTCCAACACACTTTACAGCTGATCCATCTGGTAAGTAACTGAGACCCCATGAGAAACCATGGACACTCATGATAGCCAGATCTACTCTCTCCACCTGCAGAGCATCCAGCTTCAACTGTCATACATGTTTCCACACCCCTCCCTGCTGCATGCCCGCCACTGCTGCATGCTGAGAAGGGCAAGACAGCAACCTTGACCAGGCATCTAAGGAGGAGAGAGACAGAGTAAGGAGATGGAGTCTGAGCATAGGAGCACCATCACACAGGAGTGAGGCAGCTCCAAAGAGGCAGCCTCTACAGAGCAAGGGGAGGGCTGGGTTGCAAATAGTTGGGGAAGGGCACAGAGCTGAGGGAAAGGACAGATGTACCAGGCCAGGGAGCCCGAGTCCCGCTCGAGACAGCAATGGCCAGGTGTAGGGTAAGCTAGGTCCTGGAGTGAAGCGAGGGGCTGAGAAGCCGTAGTGCTGGGTCAGAAAGAACCCGGAGACAGTGCAGGTTCTGATACTGACCCGAGGGGAAATGAGAAGCCACTGGCAAGCTCTATGCAGAGCACTGGTGGAATGGCTTTGAAAAGCCACTGCTTGCAGTCATCCATGGTAAACATGCTTGGGTACCGGCAAAGAACCATGCTGCCAGGGCCAGCATGCAGGAATATCCTATCAATCTGTGCCTCACCCCTGTTCTCCAAAGAGCAAAGCTGTCCTGTTCTGTGTGCACCTCTCATTTCTTACCCTCTCCACATCCATACTCCTAGCAAGACTTGGACAATGCCCGGAGCTCCACTGAGATACATAGGCCATGTCCCAGCTTCCTCACACTTCAGTTAATTTGATGGTGCTTGTACCTCAGGGTCCCTAGCTCTTATCATCTGGGTTTGCTGCCACAGACCATGATGCCATTTAGATGTGTTCCATTCTGGCATTTGCAAGGCCAGACAGATCTATACAAACCGGGGGTGGTACTGACTTCCTGTATTTGTTACTGTGACCAAATCTCTGTGACCAAATACCTAACAAGAAGTAACTTGAGGAGGATCTATTTTGGCTCACTGTTTGAAGGCACAGCCACCATGGCAAGGGGAGTGTGACAGTGGGGGCATGAGGTAGACAGGGAAGCAGAGAGAAAGCAGAGTGAGGGACCGTATGCAGCTAGGGGCCTAACAATTGGATGTATGGCTTTAGAGTCACACTAACTTGCCAGTTTTCCAAGGAGCTCAGCTTTAGGTCCGACTGTCAGTTCCTGCTCCATGGGGCTGTATTTCCATGGCACTCCAGACATTGCCCAGGTCCTGCCAGGAAGCATGGAATGGAGAATAGAGCTCCATGGAGATGCCCATGTCCTCTGGGGCCTAGGTGTGGAGAGGGTGAGACGTGCATACACAGAAGAAGGACAACTCTCCTCCTTGTTGGATGGGGTGGGGACATAGATGGGCTAGTGACAAGCTGATATGGCTATGATATGGTAGGTGTCTCAGTGCTTTGGGAGTCATATTCAGAGCCCCCCTCATTATAGGAACCCACAGGATTCAAGAAAAGAAGGCCATTGTATCAAGATGGTGTAATGCGATACTTCCCTCCAGATGCCATGGAAATAGCTGACACCCTCAGTGACAGGAGAGCCCTGAACCCTGTCACAGCTGTTCCAGGTCTCCTAGAGAGCCTCAAATACCAAACCTACATCAGGGACATACTGAGGCCAACAGAGCCACACACTAAACAAGCCAAGCCACAGAATGAATCTGTGACAAGCTGAGCTCTGATTCCACCCCCTTCCCAAGGACTAACGTACAGCTTCTTTGGAAACAAGGACTGTTCGGTTCTATCACCAACTACCCTGGCATCTTCAGGCCTCGTCTCATCTTTCTCCTATATAAGGGAATACAGGGAGCTTCCCTAGAGACAGTCTTCTGTTACCCTCATTTCTTTAGACTTATTCTATGCCTGTCTCCCACGTCTGGGTTCCAGGAGGGCCTGGGTCTCTGTCTCTGAACACAGTATAGTGTCCAGCATGGGGTCACGCCCAGAGTATTTGTTTTTTTAAATAATCAGACAAATATCCATTTGTCTTCATTGTCAGTGAGTGCTATGGGCAGAGGCATCGAGAATGGAAATGGGAAGGCAAGGGAGTCCATGATGCTACAGGGAGAAGATGGCCTGCCAGGAAACACCCTGTGCTTTACACTCTACACTCCACTTTCCTTGGTGAGCTATCCCCAGGAGCTCCCTTGGGTGCCGACAAGGAGAGTCTCTGACTCTATTGATTCTGTTGCTGTAGCTGATAGAGCCAGCCATCATTTGGAGCCTGTTTTCTTAGTGAGGATGTAAGAGGGCTCTAAGCAGTTACACGGGCCAGAGCAGAGCACCAGAGCAGAGCACCAGCACACACTGGAGAGTAAGTCATTCAGGGCAGGCTCTCCAAAGCAGAGAAGCCTGCAAGGCACCCTGGGAAGGCACCAGAGGCTTCAGACTGAGAAAAGCAAAAGCGAGGGAGACAGTGAAGGAGACCAGGGCTGGCTTCCCCAGGAGCTAAGTGAGATGACAATAGGGATTAGCATCTCAACGCCTCACTGAAAGGAAGAAAGAAAGGGCTGGTTCCCGAAATGAAAAATAGATTAGTCACTGTCAGGGTGAACAATAGAATAAGACATAAACAGCAGTCTGGCACAGAAACCATCAACTTTTCTTAAAAAAAAAAAAAAGGTGTGCAAGAAGGTACTCTTGAAGCCGGCTGCAGAGAAGCAATGCTACAGCCAAGCTCTGTACCAGCAGATGAGGAGGTGGGGAAGAGCGGCAGTAATCTCCAGGAACAGTTTCTTCAAGCCAGATACTGAGAAATCAGGTTCTGTTGTTTACATCCTTGCCGGGAGAGGGCAGGAGAGGGAAGGAAGGAAGGAGCAGAGAGGATCCCAGAGTAAACACAGGCTCTACCTGCTTCCCCGGAAGCCTCTAAGTGTTGTAACAAGTACAAGTGCTGGGCTGACACCCAACTCCAGAAAGACCACAAACCTAACTCAACCTTTCACTGGCTCCACAGTAAATGCTGTTTGGTTGGTGACCAAATCCTCAGGCTAGCTAGGTACTTCAAAAGATGCTCCACGCCAGGCTGGAGAGATGGCTCACTGATTAACAGCACTGGCTGCTCTTCCAGAGGACCTGGGTTCAACTCCCCGCACCCAAATGGCAACTCCTAACTATAACTCCAAATCCATGAGATCCAACACCCTCTTGTGGCCTCTGTGGGCATCGTGCATACACATGGGGCACAGACATTCATGCAGGCAATACATTATACTCATAAAATTAATAATAATTAATAATAATAATGATAGAGATCCTCCATGCCTAATTGATTCTACTGTTGCCCAGCAGGAGGTACACCAGCTCTACAGGATAAACTGGGGCTCTGCAGTAGTTCTACCATGATTCCCCTGAGACCTGGGAAAACTCAACTCCCCTGCCTATAGTCAATATTTAAAACCTTAAAATTATGACTGCTACTAATTGCTCGCCTATCTCAAGAGTCAGTACCAGTGCTGGCTAGAGCCATGCATCAGTGGGCTGTGCTGTCTCTTACCATTCCACAATGAAAATCAAAACAAAATAAATGTCAGTGCAAAAAACACAGCTCTCACCTCGAAGAGAATAAAAGATTTTTTGTTTGTTTGTTTGTTTGTTTTGTTTTTTCCTGGAGCCATTTTGAATGACCAGGACCCGGGAAACCACATTTGGGTTACCCTCGAAACCATGTTCCATCATGGAAGTCATTTCATGAAGTTAAACAGTTTTGCAGAACAAAGAAATTCACAATCAAGGCAAGTTTAAAATACAATTTGATTGTATTGTTAGTGATTTTGTTTGTGTGAATGAGAACTCCTAAGAAGAAGTTGTGTCTGCAGAGTGTGACTGTTGAGAGGTTGGAATGTTGCATTTATCCCCCAAGTACCTCAGTGGGTACATCGTGGAGGCAGTTACAGCAATACGGGGGAAGCTTGTCTATAGGCCTAAGATGTTATCTGATGACGTTTATGCTTTTGTGTTGGTGGAAGCTAGTAATTTGTTAAATTAATAGATTCAAAAAGGTTTTCATCTGTCAGTCACAGGATGTTAGTTCTGACACTGAGCAGACACATTCCCCCGCTTCCCTTCAGAGAGGCACGGGGATGGAGGGTGGTCATTTGCTTATGGCCTAGCAGAGAAGCCAGGCTCTAAACCTAGACATAGACTCTTGGTTGAGACGACATGGGTAGACATAGAGGTCAGTCACCGGGCTCACCTTACCTTAGTAAAGGTCAGACAATCTTTGTCCTGGTCTCTGTCCTTCATCTCAAAGTCATAAAGTGCTTTGCCTTGGGGCAGAGCCTGTGGCAAGGGCCTGACACACTGGATGTAGCTGGCTGGGAGGAAGCCGTGAGTGCCCTGCAGCTCCCCGTGGTACCAGTTCTCATCTACCTTGCGCCTCAGGATGATGATGTCCCCTTTGTTGAACTTGAGGTCACCAGGTTCTTTTCCCTCATAGCTGTAGAGGGCCTTGCCATAGGGAAGCTGGGATAGATTCTGAAACAGAAAACAGCAGGTGGTTACTCAGAATGCCCCTCCCTAACACCCGAGAAATTTGTCCTTGGCATGGGTTCAACGGTCATTGTGTGTCTCATGTATAAACGGCATTCTGAGACCAGAAAACATTCTAAAGGAACAAACAGTCTAACATGGGAACATACAAGTTCTCTGACCTCAGGAAAGAATGATAGTCCCTACAATAGCAAACTTCTCAATCCTACACACGAGTGCCAAAGTGCAGTCCAGCTTTCTATAGAGACCACTGCACTGCACTGAAAAGGCTCTGAAGGAATTGATGAAGTTTTATCTGTCAGAGATAAGGATACAGGCACAGGAGGGGATAACTGGTTCAAATCAAGTTGGGCAGCCAATATTCCACCCATTGTGTGTGTCTCCCTCTCTATGGACCAGTAGCATATATTCACCCAGCCCAGGTGAGAGATGTCTGGTGGGGAAAGAGTTCAGCGGCTGCTCCACTCCTAGTCTCAAGGTCATACGCCTCCCCATTCCCCGAAAGCCACACAAGCTTTCACTTCACACAACAATCCGGTCCAGAGGGAGGGACACTCCCAAGATATCTAACCCTGGTCTTGTACAGTCAGGAAGTGTTTTGTCATCCTGTCAGTGTTTGTCAACTTCTCTGAATGTCATTTGCTATTGTGGTCTCAAACAGCAACCACAGTTAAAGCCCAAACAAAATCTTTGGCCCCCTTCTCATGGCAGCAAGGACTCTCCATCCCAAAATGATCAGATGCTGCTGTCCCCTCACTATACTTTTCTAACTGGCCCCGACTGGTAAATTCTGGCTAGCTGTGTTAAGTGTCTCTTGCTTTTCTTTTCTGGTGGTCCACACTTGTTCAATGATCCGTTTTGTGCCCGAGGAAAGCCTTGTCACTGTCCATGAGTCAATGTCCAGCAATTGCCTACTAGAAGTGGCATTCTTCTCACAAGGGCTGCCTGAGCCAAGGGTTCTGTAGTATTTAAAAATCAATCAATAGCTGTACAAAGCTCAAAGCTGCAGTACATCAAAAAGTCTTTGTAGAGGGTTTAATAGCACATTGCAAATCAATCATTCTACATTTATGTCTCAGAGATGTCTGATGACAGCATTTAAGAGAAACCTGCTGGCAGATTGACAAACAACCCCCACTAGCCAATTAAATAGTAACACCAGAGAACATTTCATTACAGAACTCATTCTGGATAGCTTTGTGGTCTAAGGACAATAGACTGTACCAGGCCCAGACTTTAGAGAGTACAGGCGAAAGACAATTTGCAATCCAATACTTTGCTTCAAAAAGACTAAAGAGATGCTGGCTATGGGCCATCAGAAAAACCCCCAGGGCCATATAATGGCCAGCCAGTCTCTGGCCCATGGCTTTGGCATCAGGAATAATTTTTCTCAAGATACTTTGGGTTGTCACAAGGAGGAGGGGTGCTGGTGGCATCTAATGAGCAGAGCCAGGGATGCTGCCAAGTGCCCCTCAATTCATAGCACATTCCTCCCAAACCAAGAATTTACCAAGCTCAGGATGTCAATAGGTTAGAAAACCTATCCCCACTCTGCTAGCTAATCTACAAAAAGATGTTTCTCCTCCTTTTTCAACTCAGCTTGCCACCACATTAAAAGTCAAGTCATGACAGGAATATTTTCACTATTGACTATATGGCAACACTTAGAATTTTACTCAGAAAAGGGGTTTCAAGTGGCAGCAAGAAAAAAAAAAAAACATATTCTTCTGCTCAAAAATTCACCTCCACTGGCTACCCAAAGGAATGTCCCTTGACACAGACTGGCACTGTGTGTGCTCTTTGCTTATGGAAAGTGTGTGTGCTTGAAGTGGTCATCTTAGAGACATGATTTGGTGGCTCTTTGGAAGTTTCTGCTACCACTGATCACAGTGTGGGCTGGACAGACCATGACAAACCTGCACCATCACTGTCTCCTTCAAAGAGCCCAATCCAATGAACGTGGAGCCTTCCCCCAGCTCCTACTCAGAAAGGACATGGCTTTCTTGAGACAGGCTGACACCGGGACCATTTCAAGTATCTTTCTCATCTACTATGGACAACCATGGCACTCAGTTTAGCTGGGAGGGTGGGAATGTAGTGCCAGGGAAACAGGAAATTCCTAGGAGCCAGCTTGACTTTAGGGCCTGGACTACAGAATACCACCCAGGCCAGGGACCCACTTCCTGGTCCTGAAAGGCATCGTCCTGAGCGTCAGGAAACTCTGGCTTTTACTGATTCTCTACATGGATGACTCAGTCCCACACATATGCAGGCCATGGGCTACTCATCACCATTATAGGCCCAATTCTGCTTGCCTCTGTGTGTCCCTAATTCTCAAATCTACCTGTATTTCCACATCCATGATGACCAGTGGATTTCATATCAGTCTAGCCACTTGTTTGGAATGTAGATCTTCTAGACATCCCATAAGCCCTCTCTGACCCTTTTGTGCTGCTTCCTATATTCCTCATTCAGACCATGCAAACTCCATCTATCTGTGCCCATCCTTCCCTGAAGCCCAGCCTTTCTCCTCAAAGCCTGCTCCTCTGCTGCCATATAGATCTCCCCCCACCTACCTCTCCTCTGTTCTCAATGTACTATCCTGGGTGCTGGATGCACAGGCATAAATCAGAGTCTACCCTGCAAATTCCAGTGGCTTTCACCATGCCAAGGGATCCAAACTCCTTGGAACAGGAGCAAATGCATACTTTTCTAGCCATGGTGGGTAACCTGACAACTCTCGAGGAGGAGATACACTTCTGAAATCTATGGGCTCGGCTGACACAGCTCCACACCATCTCTTTTCCTTCCTAGATCCACAGCACTGGTACTGGGCTCCTATGCCTGGAAGTTTCCTGTTTGCTGTATTAACAGGGCTGTGCTGTATTCACTTTGACAACCAGGACCTGAGAGAAGCGTGAGGAGACACCATCTTTTTGCTGTTAGTTCAAAGGACCTCGGGGTAATTCCGAGTCAGGCTTGTGTCACTGTTGTAGCTAGTAAGTAAGGAGAAAGCAGTAGGGAAACGCAGGGGGCAGGAGAGGTCAGAGCTCACTCCTATATCGCTGCTGACTCTCATGAGTATTTAATAAAACAAAACGTATAGAAGCAATAGAGACACAGTTCTGAACGAATGTTGACATGAAGTTATTCAGGAGCAGAAGAGCCAGAAACCAGTGCTCCATGTTAAAAGAATCTCAACCCTGAGTTATGGCATTTTCCACAGTCTGATCTTCAAAGCCCATTAGTTCATGGCTGGTCCTAGAGGAAGGTGAGTATCACTGGGGAGGAAGCAGAGATGTGACTCCTGCAAACCGCACTGTGGTGGCCCATTGGACTCCTGGGTTCCCGCTGCCTGTGTTCCAATCACAGCCATTTGCCTTTTTTCCAGAGACAACTTCTCTCACAGGGAGGGCGTTCCCCCTAGGTAGAATTGAGTTCAAACACTACCAGGAAGCCACCATTAAGGCATTAAGAAAAAGAAATAAAAAGGAAAGGAAAGAAATATATCTGGGAAGCCTACAGAATAATTAACACTATCTACCCTGCAAGGCATTAATAATAATTAAAACTTATAATGTCAATTTCATGGCTCATTACTCAGATGAGACATGCAGATCTTCTCTGGGCTTAATGTCCTACCCCACAGAGACAGGGTTCTTACATATGCATAGCAGCACTTTGCAGCTTCTAAGGGATCAAATTCAGCAGTTTGCTTTGACAAATGGATTCCATTATATCTCCAGCTCTGCAGGGTCTCCCACGCATCCCTGGGCCACAGGGTCATCAGGGCCTGAAGTCAAGTGGATGAGCACACATAGATGGCTCCTCCACCACTAGAACCCCAGAAAACCAGAGTGAAGCACAGGAATCAAGAACCTTTAGACTCTTATCTATGAATTCAGTGTCTTTCACTCAATGCTTGCTACTTGGAGTTATAGCACCCTGTTAGTAAAGGCTATGGGTCCAGTCGTTATAGGTGATTAGTCCATGTCTTAATTCCTAGCCTGATAAATGTCACAGGATCAAGATATAAACTGATGGAATAACCATGTGAAAGTTGTCAGAATCAAAAAGGAATCACTTTTGCTAAGCCCTTGATAAAAGTAAGTACATAAATAAATGAAGCAAACCAAAACTTTACTAAGGAGGGGATCTTATGTATTTATGTCTGTTAGCCAAAACAAAAGACTGCCAGAACCACAAATACTGCAACCTTATACACGTGTGTGTGTGTGTGTGTGTGTGTGTGTGTGTGTGTGTGTGTGTGCTTCTGCTAGGAACTCAGACCAGTGAACATGAGTGTGTGTTTAACCTTGGGCCAATAATACTCTTATTATTAATTTCTTTTTTTTTTTTAAACCAAGGATCAATCCTTCCCCAGAGTCTAACAAGGTGAGTCTGCCTGGTCCTCCCCGCTTCATGTACCCTTCCTCAAACCCCAGATCTAGCTCAGACCTCAGGTCCAGTACACCAGCCTAACCTGGCCACCCCTGCCTGCACAGCACATAATCTCTAAGCTTCCTCCAGAACCCTCCCTGACTGCTCACAACCTACAGGTCCCTCCCAGGCCACATCCATGATTCTCACCCAACCAGATCCTGTACACCCTTCTCCAGAGTCTAGTCAGGTGGATCCACAGGATCCTCCTCTGCACACACCCTCATCAACCCTAGATCTGCCTCCAAATTTCAGAAGGCACATCCTACACACCAAGCCAACTCATTGTGTCTACCTGACTTCATTATAGCCAATCTTTGGGCTGAAGCTGGCCTGCACAACCTGTGTTCTACCCTGACCTACTTGGTCGATTATCAGACACAGAACTTACCAAAGAATCCACATGCCCAGCTATCACTGGAAGTCTACAAACAACATGAAGATCAAGGAAGTATCTCCGCTCCAAACCCCACCAGTCCTACAGAAATGTTCACCAGCGAGAATTACCTAGATGAAGCCCAGGATATAGAATTTAAAAGATCATA